TTCAAGACACAGGAGAACAATCATGGTGGTGACACCAAGTTCTGGAGTCTGGAGAGAAGCCCAAGTCTAAATGGACCGATGTCTTCCATAGGATTTTGGATCTTGATTAGTACCTATTATTGTAACAGATTCCTCATCAAGGAATCAAGCCAATGTCTAGAATCATAAAGAGTGACATGCATATGCTATTCCTAGCCACTGATGAAGTAATCAAATTTCCAGAAACCTATCCTTTAAGAAATTCCTAAATCCAGAAATAAGTTAGCCACACAAATAAGTTAATTACAGCATTACTTGTAACAGTGAATATCAAACCAACCTAACTATGCAAAGAGAAGGCTGGTTAAGAAACCAATGGCTACATTTTTATTTTCACACATGATTTAAGGAGGCTTAGCCATTTCTTGTGGTGTTTACAAAAAAATTAATAAAGAACATACTTATACAATTAAATTTAAAAAGAAAAATACAAAATACACTCGTGTGTGTGTGTGTGTGTGTGTGTGTGTGTGAAGCACTATGCACAGGAAAACAGCTAGGGGTGGGGGTTGCTGGGAGAAGAAAACGTACCAAGTAAATAGTGTGGTTTTCTTGGGCAGTGGTTTCTCTTCCTCCTCCTTGTCCTCCTCCTCCCGCGTCTTCTTTCTTCTCTGTACTTTTCTATATTTCCAAATTTTCTTCAAAGACAAGCCATTATTTTCCCATTTAAAACAGGATGCATATTTAAATCTGTTGTTTATTTGTCCTTATTGGAAGATACTGAACCAAATACATCTAACAAGAACAACGTGCAACAATCATGATTTTCCTTCTTCCAGACATTGACAGACAGTCCTTTGATTTGAAAATACAGAAACTGTGTGTGGAATACATCTGTCATTTGGGTGACTTCCTCTTGGTCCCAAAACATCCTTTCTCTGATTGGCCCCATCCACACTGATAAACCAATATCGTTCCCAAGGGTACCTCCCTGTGCCCAGAGAGCTTTGCTTCAGCTCATGCTCATTTCAGTTCACACTTACCTTTTCTGAGCCTGTCTCAGAAAAACATTAGTACAAGAGGTGTGTTTAGGGAAAGAAAGCAGCAAATTTTGAGGGCGAGTGGAAGGTTTTTATTGCTTCATTCCAGGAAGGAGAAAAACATTGAAGAGAATGGATGTACTCTCATTGTGGGGAGGGAATTTGACATGACAGGTGGAGGTGTGAGAAGGCATATGGGCAAGAGGGGACTGTTCGGCACACACTCACTGCTACAGTCAGAGAGTCCCACTTGTGACCTTTGCATGTGTCTCATTCTGTCAGTCTGCCTTTCCAAACACCTTATATATTATTTCTCCCTCCTAAGATACTCTCTCTTACCCTGTCTGTTCTTACTCGAGCCCTGCCTCTATCTTTCTTTCACACTTAGCCCATTTAAAAATAATTATATATGAGCTTGATATATCTAAAGATATTTATATCTTACTTAAAATACTGTGTTTGATCACAAATCACTCTTCTAAAATGTTCCAACTAAAAACCACTCCAACTCTGTAATTTTTCTTACTTTTTCCCTTCCACAACTATACAATGAAAAAATACTGATGTATAGAAGCATTGTATCAAAATCATATTAATCAAATATAGTTCAGGTTCATTCTCTTGAATATTTTCTCCAAAATTTCAAAGATACAGGAAAATGTTGTGAACCATAAAACACAGGGAGAGTGATTTTAGTTACATGACTACTTCTGAAGTTCTAAGAATTTGTTTTACGAATGCACATTTAACTCTGTTGTTCTTTTCTGATTTTCAATCAGTATTTCCTTAAAATACTTAGAACAAAGCTTAGGTTTATTGTTGATATGTAGGAAGAATAAATATACTGAGAAAATTCAAGAACAAATCAACCCAGAATCTATGGGCAGCCAGCCTAGCAGAATGCAAGTCACTGAGCAGGAACCAGTAGTTTCTTTGTGCAAAATCAGCTTTACTTCAGATCAGTTTAATTACTTTCAAAGACAGAAGGGAAGGACATGTACACAAACAAATTACCCCCACCGTTAGCAGCTTCAAACAATAATAAATATTTATTGCATCACAAAGTTTTTGTGGGTCAGGGTTCAGGAGCAAGTTAGATGGGTGATTCAAGCTTGAGCTCTCTCGTGAGGTCTCAGTCAAAGTAATGACTTGGATTGCAATCATCTGAAGGCCTCATGGAGGCTGGATGATCCATTTGCAAGGTGGTTCACTCATATGGCTGGCAAGTGGGTACTGGCTTTTGCTAAGGGGATTCAGCTCCTTTCCCTGAGGGTTTCTCCAGAAGGCTGCTCACCATGGGGGCTAGCTCTCCCCAAAGAAAGTAAAACAAAAGAACAAGGCCAAAGCCACAGTCATTTACATGGCCTAGCCTGGGAAATCACAGACCATCCTTCGCACTGTGTCATATTGTTT